GCCATGAGTGAGTCATGGACCCAGCCAGATAAAATTAAACTTCACTTCACTTGAGGGACTAGAAGCTATTTTAGAGTCTGATATGGGCCTTCCAGTTCTCTCTCAATACAACATTTTCCTTTCCACTCGGTGAAATAATCCTTATAAGCCTACTCATTTATTTATCCTGCAGTAACCTGATTATGGGCTTTCTTGCTCCACAGTGTACTTGCTTTATCCCTGCTACTGCCTGTAGGTTAATATTTAAAGTCACAGGTTATTATCATAACAGAAACAAGAAAAGAAACTTGTATTTTGCTTGAATGGTACAATAAATTGTCCAATACTAGTAACAAATCAAGCAATCAATGTTAGAAATCATATACAAAATGACAGGCATAGGCTATTTAACTATATTGTTTTTACTGTTTAAAATCTCCACAACTCACTGCACATTTAGTTGAGAATATTAGGAATCAAAAGGTAATCACTTGGTTACAGTTTCTAGCAGCAGATCCCAGCAGCCTTGAAGCAGGTCGCCTCAGGTAAGGTCACGTGTTCGCGCCATTAGGGGGTGGGGCTTAATAATGCCAGCCGCGGAGAGCGGGGTGGGCTTATGTTCAAGGGAAACACTTTACTGGACCGCTTATCCGTTTTCAACACATAAACTGCACATTTCCTTTCGAACACGTAGATAAAATAAACGCATCAAGAGGCTGCTCGCTGTGTGGGTTCATCAGACGGACCGTCCCAGTTGCTAAGGTAAGACCATCCGGGCTGCCACGTTAGCGGTGGGTTGAAGCTAGCTACGCAACAGCACAGGTGACCGCTTTCCTTTGTGATAATGATCACTAACATGTGTAACAAAGCAGGTGTTGCAGGTGTGTGAGGTTTCAGTGACGCCGCGCTGTCACGAACCATACGTAGGTTTGAAAGTCTTTCTGAATCGTTTATGGAGTGAAACTGTTAGCTTAGCATAACTGCACACGGGCGATAAGTGCACCATAGCTGAGCGCCGCCTCACCTACCTGTATGAGTGTCCACTGAGCGGACAGGGACACGGGAAGACTGTATGAAGCCATTGTAGCCGGCTTTGAACGGGGTCTTTGTATGTATAAATAATAGTGGTGTCAGGGGGGTTTGCAGCTACCTGGTTGTATTCTGTGATTGTCAGATTGTCCTGTTTGGTCCAGCTGTGCGCATCAGAGCCCCGAGTCTACAATGGGAGTGAACACATTAGCGTTAAAGGGCAAACCCACACTAAAATAGTGTTTACATTATGGTCTGAGATTTCACAGTAAAACATATAGTATCCAGACTCCTTCATTAGATGTCATTGTATACCATATTATCATATTAGATTACGTTGTGTAACATACCATATTAGATTATGATATATTATATTTGAGATATTATTTTCATATATCAAAACAAGAAATATTTGTGTGAGCTTTTACCTTTGACCCACCCACTTAGTAAATAAGGTAGGTGTTAGGTGTGGTGTTCAGACAGGCTCATATCACCAGTGCTTAGCAACACTCAGATGCAGATGTTGATAGCTGGATTACTGGCTGTTAACATCCTGTTTTTCTCTCTGCCTCATTAAGAGTGATCATAATTCATTGCACAAGCGCGCAGTAAGTCAGCCTGATCTTCCTTCGGCATCTGATTGCTTTTGGTTGCTTCATGTTTCCACAACTGCATGTATGGGCATGTATGGGCATGAATTCTATGTGAGAGTAAGAGCCAGTTATTCCTGAGAACCCACAATGTTAATGGTAATACAGGTTGTTGACAGGCCTTAACAATTGAATTTCTTTCTCTTGTTTCAGTGTCCAGTGGAGTCCATGAAGCAGAGACCTGCACAGGCATGAGGCTAGAACAGGAAGTCCTGATGTTGTTCATCCTGATTGTTGCATAGAGAAGGGGCAGAGGCATGGCCCTGCGGGCGTCTCCATTTCCTAATGGATTTGTTGCCGGCATCCATGCTGTTGGATGGGCATTCATCCTGCCTTGCTTCTGGTTTCTAGATCGCCTGATCGCTGTATGCAAGTCCACCACCCAGGAGAAAACCAAGCGTCTGGAGCAGGAATGCTACCTCCAACCCCTCAAAGTCTTCTTCGGCTCCATTATCTTCTTCATTCTTTTTCTTGCTACTGCCCCCTTGGCCTTCCTGGGCTTTCTGCTCTGGGCACCTCTTCAGGCCTGCCGCAGGCCCTTTTGCTACCATAGAGAGACACCATCCACACCAGAGAAAGAGATACAAAGGGGCTTTGAGCTGGAAGGAAAGGCATCGTTTGGATTTGCCTCAGCCAACCTGTGTCTGTTGCCTGACAGCCTGGCTCGTTTCAATAACCTGGGGCACACCCAGCACAGGGCAGCTGCAATTGGTAAACACATTGTGCATGGTGTGTGTCGTCCCCATATCCGCATCTTTGTTGACTCCCCTAGCAGCTGTGGGACTCTCAGCCCCTCTAACAGCATACTCCCCACAATTAACTCCTCTAATTATGGGGCTACCGATAGACAGGCTCAGCCCACAGTGGGTCACCATTCAGACTCAACTGAGGGACATGTCTCAGTCCCAAAGTACAATAGTCACGTGGTAACTGTGCCCTGTGATGATACAGAGGAGCCCTCTAGTGAGTCAACTCCTCCCATTTTTAATTCCAATCAGAACTCCAACCAGCAGGGCCGAACAAGTCAACGGAGTGCTCCCCGAGCTTTGCTCTCCCAGGGTCTTCGCCAGCAAGACAACGTACCCTGGGAAGTGTCGTCTCTGTTTCCAGCCAATTTGGACATACTGTGTCTAGAAGAGGTGTTTGATAAGAGAGCAGCACAGAAGCTCACCCAAGTACTAAGACCAGTGTTTGGACACATACTGTATGACGTTGGAGTCTATGCCTGCCAGCCACCATGCACATGTTCCTCTTTCAAGTTCTTCAACAGTGGCCTGTTCCTAGCCAGCCGATTCCCTGTGCTCGAGGCCCAGTACCGCTGCTTTCCCAACAGCTGTGGGGAAGATGCACTGGCTGCCAAGGGCCTCCTTTCTGCTAAGGTACCTTGCTTAATATAAAGTTGCCAACAGTTATTGCGGTTGTTCTTTTTTTGTTGCAGAATTCAGATTAATTACTTAGGTTTTTGTCACAGTATGAACACAGTGGAAATATGAGGTGTTAATATGTTGGAAATTCTCAGGTGCTAATCGGTCGGAATCAGAAACAGAAGACAGTGGTTGGCTATTTTAACTGCACACATCTTCATGCACCGGAGGGCAAGTCAAATTTTCTGATTAAATACAAAAATGTCCTTTTAAGAAAAGAAAACAAAGCTAAACTAGTTCTGTGACAGCTGGTCTGTGTTTTCTTTAATCAGGTGATGGGGAAATTCGCTGTGAGCAGTTGAACATGGTAACCAAGTGGATTGGCGATTTTCAAGCTGCAAACAAACACCCCGACGAAGACGTTGTTTTTGACGTGCTCTGTGGAGATTTCAACTTTGACAACTGCTCACCTGGTGGGTCTCTGTTAACTTTCTATTCTTTTATGATATTATATAATACGCAACTTTTTTTAAGGTATCATTAACAAAAAAAGTTCTTTTAGTAAATATACATGTTTTTCTGTGTGTCTAGATGACACCCTGGAACAGAATCACTGTTTGTTTGAGGAATACAGAGATCCTTGCAGGGCAGGGCCTGGAAAAGAGAAGCCCTGGGTCATTGGTGCGTTCAATTTAAAATTATTAGACTACATACATAGACAAGACAAATGATGACAATTCATAAGGTATTTCATTGGTTTCCATCTGAAGGTACTCTGCTGGAGCAGCCCACAATGTATGAAGATAATGTGAACACCCCAGAAAATCTACAAAGGTACACCCTTAATCCTCTGCTCCACAGCATTATTAATGTGATACGACCAGAACTCCTCGCTCACTGTTTATTTACTGAAGCTGATTTGAGGATTTACTCCGTCTTCTCTGTGTCTGTGTAGAACTTTGGAGAGAGAAGAGCTGAGGAAGCAGTACATCTCCCCTCCTATTCCTGCAGAGGGCTGCCCATTGGTGTACCCAGAGACTGGCCAGCCGTGGGTCGGACGTCGGATTGACTACATCCTGTACCGCGAAAACTCCATTTCAAAGCACTGCCGAACAGTACGTGTCCCCATGTGTTTTTACTCTTTACTCAGTCTTCTTCTTCTCCATTGCTTCTGTCTTCTTAAAGTTACTGTGAGATGCCACAAATAATTCTTGAAACATGTGCATGTATCAGAACGACTGACAATCTGTTCTAATAGAAAATGTCTTTAAAATCTTCCATTAACAACCATAAAGCACACACACTCTCTTTGTCTCCATCCAGGAAATAGAAGAGATGACTTTTATAACCCAGCTCGCTGGCCTTACGGACCATATTCCTGTTGGCTTGAGACTGAATGTAATTATGGACCCCGACAGTGCTGGTGAATGACGACTAAAGTGAAGACAGTGTCACCTTCTAATGGGAAGCTGGAACAAAAGAGAACAAAATATACAAAAATGTACATCACTCGAATCTATACAGCCACGACAATGTTTTGTTTACATACTTGAATTTGTGAATTTAATGACAATGTACTGACCAATGAGATTATACCTCAGGAATTCATGGATTTATTGAAATGTTATAATGTTTACAATTTTATACATTAAGGTGTGTACAGGGCAGATGTATTGAACAATATATTTGTAGGATTTCTGATTTTTTTTCCCTACAGAAATAAATGTAAAGAATAAATTTTATACTTTGTCTTCTGTTTTTCATTGCCATCAAACATGAGTTACATAATTTGACTATGCCCATATAATACAGTAACACAACATAATTCATTTGGTGACAATTCAGTCATGATCTCATAAGAGCAAGATTAAGCCATTAAGTCATTTGCTGCTCAGAGGGACAATTTATAGAGGAAGATGAGCATTTCCAGATTATTTGAGTGTATGAAATGTCCTGAGACATTTTATTATTAGCAAATATCAAACATGCATGACTAAATCAGATTTAAATTTATGAGTTTTTTTTTTAACATGTTTTTATCATAGGGCATGCTCAACTGTCCACTGGATTACTATTATAATGTTCAACTGTCCACTGGTATAGTATTATAATGTTCAATAATAATAATGGTCAATACCCTCTGTGGCCTGTAGGCTTACTCTTCTTGTATTTCAGGCCCAGAAACCAACGAAGAAGTCGTGCAAACCAATCAAATGTCAAGGACGGGACTCACTTCCTGTTTTTAGCCCTTGGTGGACTCGTGGATAGCAGTTCATGTGATATTGTGATGTTACAAGTTAAAATAATGAATATCCTCAATCCCTGGAAGAAACTGGTGTCACCGGCATTCAAAAGTGGCCTTTTACTGGAGCAAACAGGTGTTTTTAGAGGCGTCTGTTCGCTCCCCAAAGCTTGTTGTCTCAGTCCGTGTTTACCTCGACGTTTTACAGCAAATGTTTCCTCATGTCAGCGTTGGCGTCATGTATACACCAGCCACTTAGACACAAAAAGATCTTATTCAGAGATGAGTAATGAAAGCAGTAATTCAAAGAGCAGCACTGACGTGTTTCAAGAGGAGTCTCATGAGATGGACAGTGACAGCAGTCAAAGTAAGTAAGCTCCTAGTAGTCCATTAATACATTGACTGATCAGGAGAGAGATTACTAATTCATTCAATCATTTAAGTAATTTCCAAGTAAAAATGGCATTTAATCTTCTTACATGTGAGGATTTTCTGCTTTTCTTTGCCATATATGATAGTAAACTAACACTTAATTTAGAAAGCTTGCCAGTCACAATTTCCAAAAAAGGTGACCTCTATAAATAGCTCGTTTTGTCCAACCAACAATCCAAAACACAACATTTACTATCATATAAGAAAAGCATGGATGGATTAGGAACTGTGACTGGCTTTGTCAAGGTGTTTTGCAGGCTGAACAATTAACCATGAAGATAATTGGCTTTAACTAATGGAGAATGAAAACCAGTCAGTTGCAGCCTTAGTTACTCTAATGGATGAGGTCCCTCAGTCACCCAGCATCGCTTTAACTATTGTATGTGACAGCTTTTCTCAGTTTCACCACACAATTAGAAAAACATACTGCTGCGCCAGATTTATTGCTTGAATATTGCCAGACAAAATGTTTCACTCTTGTTTTTCTCCAGGGTCTTCTCTGAAGTTCTCTCTTGATGTGCTGGTGTCTCTACTGCGTCAGGAAAACGCAGTGGACATATGTGTGATTAAAGTACCGGAGCAGATCAAATACGCAGAGTACTTCATTGTCGTCAGCGGTGTATCACCAAGACACCTCCGCGCAATGGCACTTTATGCCATCAAAGTGGTAACTAGCATTGATTTTCTCATTGTTAAATGTTAATATGTGCGAGCTGTGTTCTGTTTTTAAAACTTACACCAAGGATGATTTTCCTCCAGTACAAGTTTCTGAAGGAAACGGGGGAGCCAAATGTCAAAATAGAAGGAAAGGATGCAGAAGACTGGATGTGTATTGACTTTGGTATGTGAAACTTAGAGATCCAATCGTCTTATGTCCAATTTAGACAGCTGTTTGTGTAAATTGATGTTTGTCAGTAGAGTTCTCAGTGGTGTTCACTGGCCTGCTCTTTTCTTTGACTCAGGGAATATGGTTGTCCACTTCATGCTACCAGAGACCAGAGATGTGTATGAACTGGAGAAACTCTGGACGCTCCGCAACTTTGATGATCAGCTGAAGAGCATCCCTCCTGAGACGCTACCAGAGGACTACATATATGATGTTGAAGTCACAAAGTGACAACACAAGACAAGTTGTGCACAGAATTTACTACATTTACTACTCTGTAACTTTGATTGCATCCTCTTTCCCCTGTGAGTAGAAAGGTGTTTTTTGTCATTTGAATTACCTTTGGTATTTGTACAATACCGGTATGAATTATTTTTGGGTCTGCTAAAGAAAATATGTGTTTTAACATATTCTGATGGTTAAAATAAATTATTTTAATAACATTCTAGATATCTTGGAATTATTTGGTAAATACTTCCTTGTATTCTAACAGACTTATTACTCCATTTTGACTACGTTTACTGCAAAGTAAATATTTGGCCTGATAAGATGAATTGTAGTTGTATAAAGGAATTTAAGTGTATTAATTATCAAAAGCTGCTGTAGCTCCAGATTGGTGAGTCAGCCTCTTTAACATTTAAAGCTAAATGAGTATTTAAATCCTTAGTAAAAATCTTAAAAATGACCTTTTAATGTAACATTTACCTAAAAATGTAGTGGAGATAAAAGAATAAAGTCTCATGAAAAGGAAATATTCAAGAAAGTAAAAGAACTTCAAAGTTGTTTTGGAGCACATTACTAAAAGTGCAGTTTCTCAACTTCCACCTATGGTTCCCATTCCTTGAGCAGTTTGTTGTCTGCAGAGAGCTTTTAGGAACATTTTCCCTATTTTCACATGTTTTGGGAGTGTACCCCAGAGGCCGAATTTTGGAAGATGGTTGCCTTTAACCTCTCTAAATTGTTTAACCTTAGATTGCCCTGTTCACCTGCTACACTCATTTTGATTTGTCAAGGCTGGGTTTGACACTGGACAAGAGAAGAGCGTTGTTGGCTGGACTTACGGCTGCAAAACAACTAGTTGCCACACGTTGACAACCTCCACATTCACTCTCTTTTCAAACATGGGTTTTAACATATTTGGATATTGTTTATTTGGAGTTGTCGACAGCTAGAGTCCACGGAGCAAAAGAGTCAGCAATAGAGGCTTGGCATTCACTCTTAACTATCCTCCGTGGGTTTCAGGTGTAATATCTGACTGAGATATAGAGTTCTGGATCCAGGGGGTGGGTGGGTTATATTTGGGGTTTTATTTATTTATTTTAATTTTTATTATTTTATTTTAGTTGGTAATCATATGTATCTCTATATATGCATATGTATAGGTATGTATGTGACTATATATTTAATGCGTTATTTTTGAAACGTGCATATATCTATTTTTCCTTAAAATAAAAAGTTGATCACAAAAAGGAACATTTTCCCAAAGAAATGATTATGTGGGGTCACCAAAACAAGCTATTCCAGTTGATGCTTTTAAACCAAATCGAACAAGCCAATTGCTCCCTCCAGGAAAAGACAAGTGTTTGGCCAAAGTATTAGTCCTGACTTGCATTCACTCAGCTCTTACGAGTTCTAAAAGATTGCTCAGTGAATTGGTAAGACACAGGTAGGTAGGTCGGTCAGCAGCACTTGTGCAACTCAAAGAGCCTCTCCTGTGTTTGACAGATAACCAGCATTTACCATTCCACATTATACCATGCTATGCTATTCTAAAATGTACTGTATGATTTGATTATATCAGGAAACTGGTGTGTCAACATTTCAAGTTTCTGAATACCTGCATTTTTGATAGGGAACCAGAGACTGAAGGTAGAACCAAACACAGATACTACATGAGTGCATGCACACACATATATACACACTATACCCTAATACCTTCCTAGCAAGTGACCATTCTGCTTCATTGACTTGTTGTAAGTCATGCTGGATCCGATCATTAGCTAAATGTAAAAATGTAATGAAGTGGGGGATGTCTACATGGAGCCTGACTGGATTTGATATTTGAATGTTTTTGTGTATTTGTACATACACAAGAATGACTCAACAGCTACACGTAACAGCTTTACACTGATCAAAAGCCCACTAAATGCAACTATGTAGACGTGAAATTATTAATCATGTTTGTAGTTTATTTTAAGACAGGCTCTGTTTTAAACAGTTTGCATGCTATATAGAGACGAAGGTGGCACGTGTGAGATTGTACAAAATCAATTAATGCAATCTTTTGCCTGTCTTAAACCAAATACTTTTTTGCAGATTAGCTAAATGACTAGAGGGAAATTCAAAACAAGTGAAAGAAAAAGATTAGTTTTGTATCTGACTCCAAAGTTGCTACTGTGGCGAATGTTCTCATTAGTTGCACAGACATTTTTACCCACTGCTGTGTAGCCATTAATGGCAATGGTGTTAATATACTCTATGATGGAGGAGACTGTGAAGAACAGGAAGATTAGTTAACTTTTGGAAACAGCAGTAGCAGATTCATCTTCATTTATTGCTGCATAAGGTAACACTTGACACTAAACTGTTCATTCCATTGCACTTCTTTCCAAACAGAATTTAAAGCTTATCATGCTTTATTTACAGTATAATGCCATCATGGTAACCCGGTGTTGCACAGATAAAAGAGCACATTAATCTGTAGTTATTCATCGTTCCCTGGTATGTGATTGGCTGGAAATAAATCATTTATCTGTACAAACCCCAACCAAGACTTGCCCATCTACAATCTACTCAGTTAGCGTTCTAATATGTACTTGCAGCATTAAAACAAGCAGAGGAAGCGAGAACTTGGGTTCTGTGATATCGTGTCCTGCAGGTGGGTTGGCACTTAGCTGCAGTCTTTGGTGCTCTCTCAGTGGAGGGTGTTGATGATGAGTATTAGCTACCAGAGAGCACATCAACTTGTATCAGACATGACACTTAAAGGACTCTGTGCTTTATCCACCTGGCTCTCATTTGTCAGCAAGGTACCGTGCAGGCTGATGTGACTATAGTATTTAAATCAGGCATTTATTACTGACCATTCTCTAGATACCACATCCATTATTTCTGAAATAAAGCAAGTGGTGAATGGTTCTTTATGACTCTAGAAATCTATGACCAGTATAAGTATGACTGCATTTTTCAAAAATTGTTATTGAAGGCATAGAAACTGTAATATTACTTTACTTTCTAGAAATGTTACGCTGACGGATCGCTATTGGGACTGATACTTTGATTTGTGCCATCTATCCAAATCATTGTATTAAAATGTAAACACATTTTGCTGAAAGAAAGAGGTAATTCTGGCGTAACATCTATAAATTTGGTGTGTAATCTGGACATTTTTAGTGCGTGTGTACTTTTCCTGCAAAAACTGTGCTGTCGTTCTGGAATTGAGTTCTCATATGATTGTCATAGGAAACAACAGCACCAATCTACTGTCAAATTTCAGTAGAGTGCTCTTCAAAGAAAATAGTTGCCATTAAAGTCATCTTACCATTTAGGGGCTGAAAGCTTTTTGTGACCTCAACTGGAATTGAAAATGTATGGGTTTGAGCGATTTACTGCCCTTTCTTGGAGGATTTGGTGTAATTTGAAAATATGCTTGCTGGTTTGGCCAAAATGGTTTAGTTAAGACAACTGTAAATCAATCGGTAGGGTTCAAAACAGAGTTGTAGTGCCACTGTTTTGTACACAAGAATAGAGAATGCAAAAATCAATGGACTTGCATTCACAACATTTATTAGTAAATTTGAAACTTTGGGAAAATGTTTTCCTTCTGGCTAACAAATAACCCTTTCAACCCTTAGGAACATTTCATTGAAACAGAAAAAGACACTTCTATCATTGTTTGACAACAAGGACTATAGTCATTACTTTTAATTGTGACAGTTGGATTATACATTTCAGATTATTTATACATAATTACAGTAATGATTGGTTTTGTTTCTCGGTAGCGGACCCCCCTCTGCATTTCTCTATAAACGATAAATGATCGAGACATCATCTTTTCAAACACCTGGGGAATCTTAATGTATTCAAACTTAATGTGAAAACAGCAGACCATCATCAGACATTGGAAGTTACACATCATCACTTTTATTGAGACGCGTCACGCTGGTTGTGACTCTTATCTGGACTCTTTAAATTAATAAAGGTTTGTCTCCGCTTGTGCCAGTACTTAAATACAATTATTTTTTAACAAAAGGGACATTTACTGTTATCAAGTATATTCTTTTCTACCCTTCGTACATTTAAGGCCTTCCTAGAAACAAGAATGATTAAAGATGAATTAACTACATTGCAAATTGATATGAATCAATTATGTGCGCCTCTGTGATTTTATGTAAAATTAAGCTCGTTTTCAGCAAAGGGGTTGATCATGCTGTAAAACACAAATTTGGGCTAATGTAATTCAAGAATAATAAAATCCTAATAGCCCACGTGTTGACTATCTGCAGTAAATTTCCAATTCAGTAACTGTAAACTTATAAAAAAAACAACATAGAACATGCACACCATCAAGTCAAATAATTTACACTTTAATTATTCAAATGCTGTTACACCTTACATGTTTTAAGAAATTAGTATCTCAATTTGTTTCACAAGACATTCAGGGATGACTAAACTAATGAGGCAGTGGATATTTCTCAAGAGCACCCTAAAAGTGATCATCAAAATCACCCTCCCTCCCCATCTGACACACACGCTATAAAACACAGGCAATGTTGAGAATCTGACAGAGGTGCCTTCAACAGCGAGTAAACCGACTACAGCAGAGTTTTCAAGAGTTACTTTATAATGTAAGGAAATCTTTTGTTTCTCACCTTTTAATTTAAAGGCAAACTTTGTGATTGAAAGTCAGTAACTATTGTTTGATCTGGCAGGTTTTATGGTGGTGTATCAATCCGATATTGAGCTTCAATTTCTTCTGGGTTAATCGTTTGTTATTATGCATTTTGAGTATTAATGTTCCCTGTGATCCAGGATTCACTCCAGCGCTGTGATGTCGATGAGTATTCTGGCTCTCTGCCTGCTGGCTTGTATGCATTCTGGCATAAATGCATATCCAGCCAAGCCTGCCAGTCCCCGCGATGGTGCACCACCTGAGGAACTCGCCAAATATTATTCTGCACTACGACACTACATCAATCTCATTACGAGACAGAGGTTGGTTTTTGAATTTATATTAAGTAAATCAGAAAATGTTGAATGTACATGGAAAGAAGTTTTGATATGTTGCTTGACTCTTTTTGATGCACAGGTATGGAAAAAGAGACACCCCCGATACTGTATTTTCAGATGTGTTGATGAGGGAGAGCACAGAGAGTATTCCAGGATCAAACTATGTCAGGTAAAATATGTAAAAAATACAGAGCATGGTTGCTTTTTGTATATTTTGTAATGCTTGTTTTAAAAAACACTAATTTATGTTGTCTATATAATGTATGTCATTGCATGATAAAACATGTATAATGAAAAATGCAAACTTCCATACAGTCTAGTGCAATTCAACACAACAGCAATGCAATATATGTGTTCCTGTGAAGCTCATAGTATTATCAAACAAGTGTTGATTTTCAAGGATGTAATTTGTGGTGGTATTGTATTAGATTGATTCTTATCATACATCATATATATATAATACACTGTCTTCCTCTTGTATGGACAGGGAAATATAACATTTGATTTGAATGTTTTTCAGAAAGTTAACACACTTTTTGACTTCCTCGTGTTGTAGGTATGATGGGCTGCCACTGTGGTGATGCTGCTGGAGCCGTCATGTCCAGGCTGACTTTACCACAAAGCTGCTGCCCTGTCCGTTACTGACATGAAATAAACTTGTGCTGCATGGAATAAATATTGTGAAATGCAAACACTTTGGTCTGTAATGTCTCCAGCGCTACTAAAACATATTTTTAACAAGTATGCTCATCACCTTACTCGCTTGGTTTGGCAAGTACTGAGTAATGCTATCGAACCTGTCTAATATCTACAGTATAGGTAGGTCTTGTGTATCATTCACTGATGGATTAACAGTGCTCTCTACTGGTGGACCAGCATCTAAAAATGTTTTAGAAGTTTCATGCGTGGCAAATAAATATCTTATAAATCATGTTTGCTGCTAATGTTGTATTTGGGGGAGAGTAAAATAGAAATTAGCTGTAAACTGAGCGCATCAAAGTGCATTTATTTCACTTGTTATATCAAGCCTGCTGAGATGTACCTGCACTCTGCCTGAAAACAGATTAACAGTTTAATCCTATCAAGTGACCTGGATATATCAAAAGCGAATCACGTAACACCGACAATTGGTTAACTCTGTATTGACAACAGGTCCAAGCTACTGGCTCACTATAACTATAATGAAACCTGGCCTCTCTGTAAAATAGTTTCAAGGAAGCTAAATCACCAGATTTGGTGAATGGGATATTGCTTGGTGCTTCATGCAGACCTGCAAAGGGGCGGTGCAAATCAGATTAATTGCAGCCAGATATGGGTATAGTATATTACAGCTCCAATAATTGTAGCAGCATGTACAGTACACCGTCCTCCTGGGGTAAGTGTATCCGCAGTGTTGAATTCCTACATATGTTGTTTGCCATTCAATAATAGCTATGATGGTGCATGATATTTTACCAGAGCAAGAAGAAACATCTGTTATACTGGTACACTGATAGATTCAGCAAAGCTCTCTAATGTGTCATCAGTGTATAAACCTCAGAACATAAGGTTCAAAGTCCTGGTAGCTTCACAAACTAAGCAAGGTCAAAGGGCGAATGTATGTTTGAATGTATGGTGACCGAAAGGTTGTATTGGGCTGTCAACACAGTATCAAAAGCAGCCAGAGGGTATTTCACATTTGTGTATAGTATTGGATTTAATGGGGCAACAATGTTTGATTGATCCAGATCCATTGATGCAGTTTACCTCCACACACCTTTTCTCAACTACTGGTATTAATGTTAGGGTGAGTTTACAATACATTACATGGTGGGCTGTGCAGGATTTCAGTGGGTTAGATCTAACTTGAAAGGCACTGGATGTCATTAGCATAGCACTCTGGACGGGGAACCGAGGAAAGGGGCGCAGACAGGCTCACTGGAAATGCAGTAACAAGTTACTATTGCGCAAGTGATCTGCGAATTGGGACACACTGAAATGAAAGGAAGAATGAAAGCGTGACTGGGTGGCACTGGTTGAATTAGGTAAGGTATCATTCATTCATTTTACCGGACACTTAGAGCAACAATCTCATGATGGGACCCTCTCCTTTCTACCACCGCTTCACCAGCTAACTGTAGCTAGCGAGTCTGAGCCACATGATATTACTGTTAGCTACCAGCTAATTACTGGAAGCTCTTCACAGAAGAGCATTAACAAGCCGAGATAATCTGGTTAATGTTGCAGCCTTCTTCATTAGTTTGTGGTAACGGGGTCGCTCTGTCTAAGTGGTACTTGTGTGTAAGCGTGCGCCACTGTTTGCTAACAATTATTAGCATTGCTAACATGCCTGCACATGACCTACGAACTAGCCATGGCTAGCACAAACTCACAACGGGACGGGCACTGACGGAATATACGCCAATAAGGACCCGACAGCATGTAGGCGCAGTTGAACATACTTCAAATGATATCTGGTGGTTGTGTGTTAACCCTAAAATGAGCGTTTACCAGCGCTAATGAGCTACCAGTGGCTAGTTATCGCGTTAACTAAGTTACCTCACATTGAATGAAGAGGGGGATACACGTGCAAACTTCAACCACAGCAGCCGACACGTGTCTTGAACTCTGAGTTTGCGTTAGCTCTTCTATAAGTTACTTTAGTGTTGTCTTCCATGACTTTAGAGCAACCACTTAGAAACTTATCATGAGACTGTGAGCAACTAGCGTTCACGTCTCTCCCCCCCCCCGGCTGCTCCTCATGTGTTTGATAAAGAACCGGTGTAGGCGGTCACTGTCTCAAGCGACTGAGCCCCATTCATGAAGACTGGCTTTTAACTTTAATGGTGTGTGTGAATAAGCTCGAAGTGGGGTAACTTACGTAGCATTACACTTGTCTTAAGTACACTCACACACACTCACACACGCTTGAAGTCTGCTACCACATATAATGGCATTATAGGCCTCCTTTCTTTTCACCCTTATTTGAATGTAGCCAATGTATGCCCTGCAGTCACATGTCCTACCCAGTATGATGTTAGACAGGGGTTTTATCTCAATTATGGCTGATATATACTGATATTTACTGATATACTATATATATATATATATATGTTATTATTATTGAGTGTTTCTAAATGACCTCAGGCTTAGTGTGGCATTTCTGTACTCATCTACTGTTATGTACACAGATACCAATATATCTGCAGTAAGCTAACATCAGCTACCCAACACTATCAACAGCAATAGATGGCAGTTAGTTTAGCACCTATAAACCTGTAATTATGGTCCTATTTGAGGTTTTATGGTGAGCATTGTAGCCTAACCCTGAAATGTTTTAACAGGTCTGATTTCAAAGTTTCTTTTTAGAAAGTGTTGGCCTCAGTGGTTGCCGTAATTTCCAGCCAACAGTATTCTTTCTTTAAACAGACAGTACGGATACAATAAAACCTGCTGTTGACAACAACTAGAAACATCTGGATCTCTATAGGCCCCAAAATGTGTCCCATTAAACGAAAAGCTTCTTGAAGTTACAACTTTTGATCTTTTTAAATCCACAGAAAACAATTAATACGTCAATCTCACTCTTTCTGAGCTGAACTTTGTCTGACTTGGTGGAAGTAATGAGCCTGTTTAAGCAGACTTTGGTCATGTGATTGACTTGGCCAATGACAATGGCTGCATTACAGTACTACTGAACGAACAGGAGAAGTCTGGGTAATGAAGGCAGGTTGGGGTGGAGAGGAGCTTACTTACCTGCATGAGCTGCTTTTGTCAATACCTAGGAGGGTTTTTTTTTATCAAGGATAATTTTGACAAAGAATAAGAATGATTTCCCCCCTTTCCATTGTCTCTTTAGTCCAGAGGAACCAGATGAGTGTTTTGTAGAAAACGTGGGACTCCGCGTCAGAGTGCTGCACTGATGATTTGAGCACAGTTTGTAGGTGAGTTTGTGCCTTTCTTGTTTCTTTTGGCTCTGGATGATTATCTGCCTTTTAGCTGTCTTCGTTGACTTTGTGTGCAGGGCATACAATTCTGCATTTATAATATTTATACAGTTCAAAGTTTACAGTTAAATGGGGCTGTCTATGCTCAAACAGCCCATTCTCCTGTTTGTCCACCTACACACCAAGGCATTGGCAGGGCTTCACTCTATTTGGAGATTATGTTTACACAGAGTCCTCAGGGGCCTCCCTGTGTGTGACTGGCACAACCTTTAGCCACAAGGATGGGGAGACTCATCCTTTGTTACTCAATGGCCCTCTTTGTCATTCCCTTATTTCATAAGAGCCCTCTGTACTAACATGAGCATAAGACAAACAAATGTTTTCTGTGCTATTTTCTGTGTCTCATGCTCCAGAACTGTGTCTACATTTGTTCTACACATGTTAGTAAATGTCAGCTTGTTTATTTCATGACATGGCTTGTATAATGTAGTTATCTTAGCTTATAGTATTCTGACTTGAGCGGGTTTCCTACCTTCTCCAGCCTTCCAGTTGCTCTGGTTTCTGTAAGCGGGCAGTTGGGTGGCTTTTGACTGTGTACAGAGAGATTCTCCGTCCTGAGCTGAGGAATATTAAACATGACTGTGGCCAATGCAAAGTCTGGCACAGGTAAGATGTCAAAGACCTAACCTATCGTTTGTGTAGGAACTGTTGCAATATTGTGTGCAAAAACATTTCATTACCATTTGAATGGGACTGTACCCACTGCCCAGAGATAGTTGTGTGGGTGTGTTTTCAGCTGCCTCTGAAATTTCATGTGACTCTCTATGAAGGCCTCTCTATCTTAAAAGTGCACAGTGTACTCGCAAAACAGCCAAATGGGCTTCCGTAGTGACTGCATTTATTTCTGTGAACTGTCAGATCTCAATTTGCTGTCTACTTCTATTGTCTGGGGGTAAAAAGGCAAGTGGACTACTTATTCTCCTAAAACAGAAGGCATGACATATATTAATGGAAAGATAATTATTGGGAAGTACAGAAAGATAGTATATGATTCATTTTATTGAGTCAAGTTGGCTGATTAATCAAACTACTAGCTGTATGTGTCAGGGGTTTTGGCTCCAGTTTCTTGTTGTATGATTTCAGCCTCTACAAGGCAGATCTGTTTGTAGAACAATCCCTTTGTGACTCTGTGTGCTTGTTGTTGCTGCAATGGAAATAAGGGATGTTCTCTGTGAATTGGCCCATTGATTGACTGTCCACTTATTGTTCTTGCCTTGTAAGCTCTTATTATAGTCACATTGTTTTGTTGTTTTTTTCATCTGTTTTCATTGGTTCAGAATTTTAATTATTTTCATTATTACTGGCGCTTAACATTTCTGCCTGCATTCACAAAGCAGTAATTCGCAAGCTTAAAAGAAGTAAGGAGAGTGGTTGGCTTTCTCTAAGCCCAATTTCTTGACGTGTATTTATCCCCCTCAGCCATGCAGCAGGTTCTGGACAACCTCAAAGACCTGCCATCAGGCACAGGAGCCAAAGATATCGACCTCATCTTCCTCAGAGGCATCATGGAGAGCCCTATTGTCCGGTCACTTGCTAAGGTAAGACACACACTCACTCCAACTATTCCAACGCTATGTGTTTTACGCGCACACACACACACACACACACACACACACACACTAAGAGTTACTAAGAGTTTTGGAATTTTCCGATTGTGGGACTATTAAAGGAATAT